CAGCTGCTCTGCAGAGCCGAGCCCACAGCCTTGCATGGGGCAAACAGGGCTGGCCCGTGCCCACGCGTGCCATCTGCCTCCCTGCTGGGCTCTGCTGCGAGCTTTTACTACTCGGCTGTTTTATCAACGGGGTAGGAAATGTTTGAGATTAGATTTCCTTAATTAATTCCTGTGTAACTAGGAATTTTCCAACGAACACACAGGCAGAGAGAGCGGGTTGTGGAGAGCTTCCAGAAAGATCCCAGGTTCCCCCTGGTCCTGCTCCTTCTCCATGGACCCCTGGAAGCATCCCAGGACTGGCCTGGCCTCATTTCCCCCTTGGCCCATTAACATTCCCTGTGCCTCCCAAGGGATCTGCAGAGTGTTGCACACACACCACAGGCTGCTGCTGCAGGATGGAGCAGGTAGAGGAGGAAAAATAAACAAAATCACAAAAATCCTCTCCGCCACTGTTTCAGGTGCAGCTCCTGGATGGGCAGGTGCCCATGGGAGCCCTCGAGGTCACGCCTGCAGATATGAGGACATGTGGTGGTGCTGGGGAGGTTTTGGAGAAGATCCTGCTCTTCCATCCAGCCTGAGGGGCATGAGTACTCAACAAGGCATGGGCCCAAGCAGTCCTGGGTGCTGAGCACATCCTCACCCCTGTAATCCACCACAAAAATCTGAGAACACCCTCCCTCCGACTGCCATTGCTCTGGGAACCAAAAAAAAACTGCATAAAACCAGAACTAATTTTGCAACTTTTAATGGACGACGATCTGGTTTCCCCCCCAAAAAAAATAAACAAGCAGCAAAAGCAGCACCCAAGCAGCTCCCAGGAGCCTGTGGCTGCCGTTTGCCTTGGCCTCCTGCCTGCCCAGCTCCGCTCCTGGGATCGCAGGATGACCTCCACCACGGCAATCCCGCCGGGTATTTGCCTGCTCAGGAGATACCATTAAAGGTGTGATGGGATTGTCCTGTGCTGGCAGCCTCTGACAGGTTGCAACCCTAAAGATAAACAGATTCTTTCGAGCAAATAAGGAGTAAATGCAAAGCTGGGCAGTGAGCGGGGCGGGCAGTGCTCCCCTGCCCAAACACAGCAGCCTCGGGACGCCCGTGAGCACCCCGAGCTCGAACAAACACCCCCAGGCACAGGGAGCAGGATGTCTGTTCCCAGTCAGGCTTCCAGTCAAGCTTAACCGGCACATGAAAGCTCCAGGCATTTATTCAAATGATAAAAGCAAAGCCAGCACACACAGAGTGAGGTTTCTCGTGGGGATTAGTAACAAACTCCCAGGTAAGCAAAGGAACGGCCTCAGCCGAGCTGCTCCATGGTGCAGTTTATCCAGGCAATGCTTGGGCTGGGTGTCCTGAGCAGAAAGGCCTCACCTGGGAACTCAGATCCACCTTGGAAAACTGTGCAGGTGCCCAGCAAAGTGAAACCTTCCTGTGCCCCCATCCCGATCCACAGTGTCAGCTAGTTCCTTAGGGATTGTGAGAAAATAAAACCCAAACCAATCTTCCACCCTTCAAACTCCCGCTCCTGCCTTCCCGAGCCACTCAGGAGATGGAAGGGCTGATCCCTCAGCACTGGGCTGTTGGAAGTGTGAAGTGTCACCCCATCCTGCACCAGGCTCCCAGGGAAGGGCTGGGATGTGGATCAGCCACACCAGGAGCACGTGGGGACGCAGCTGTGACATCGCTGTGTGCTGGTGCCCCTCGTGTGGAGCTCCCTCAGACCATCCCACTCCTCCTCGGGAGCTGTCCTGGAGAAGTGACCTGACCTTGACACAAGGGAATCTGGAGTCCCATCCCTCCCCCTGCCTCACGACCACCCCCAGAGCCTCTCCCCATCCTCACCCCCACCCAGGGACTCGACAGGTGGTTTGATAACCTCAGTATGCACTGAATTGGGTCTGGTTTCACAGCAATTTGGACTAAATTAGTGCTGGAGCTGGGTTTAAGGGTGTTGTGCCTGAGTGTCTGGAAATACTCTGGGAATGGAACAGACCAGGTACATTTAACTACAAGGTGACAGACTCAGAAGTTTTGCAGCTTCAATAAAACTCTCAACAGCTACAGAGCTTTTTTTTTTTTTTTTTTTTTTTCTGTGTTAATTTAATCATACAAATATTCATTTATACATTAAGGAAAAAGCTTCCTTTATTTTCACCCCCAATGTGCTATCATAGGACTTCTCCCAGACTCAGAGAGGCAACACACCATCCCGTGCTACACATGCACTGCCCCGGCGAGCACAGACAGGCTGGGAACCACCCACGCACTCACACACGGAAAAAATTAAACACAACAGAAACCCAGACGTGGGACAGCGTGCATTTCCACCCACACCACTGCTCTCCGACTGCACGGCTCTGCCCCAGCTCCCAAACCTTGGCGGGGTTCGAATCCAGCACTCCTGAGGTGTGGGCAGAAGATTCCCACTCTCTCACCCCCTCCCATGGCACTGCCACTTTGGGGCCAGTCCCAGGGACATCCTGCTCCAGTTTGCCAAGGCTGGGAGGTGACACTGCTCGAGCTGTGTTGGTGACAGGGTCCAAGTGACTCTTGCTTACCACAGGGACCCACTTAGAGGCCATCAGAGATGTTCTACATTACCCTTTCCCTTATGGGAGCTGATACAAACTGCAGTGTCACGAGGTCACCTGGGCAGAACTTGGCCAAATTCATCTCAATCTCCCCATTAAAAGTCGGACATCTGAAGCACGAGCAATCTGAGGGCCAGCTGCACAAGAACCTCCAAGAAACCAGGAGATAAAACCACCTTTGGCCTCAGTGAAACAGTTTTTACTCGAGAAAAAAACACAGAGCAATCCGTTTTAAACATCCTTCCAGTGACACAGCAGGGGCCACAACCCTCAGCTGCCTGGGCAGAGCAGGATATGAGCAGCAAGAGCTGCAGATCTCAGAGCCCTGCCTTTCCTCACACCCTGCAACGTGCACCCCTTGTCACCAGGACACCACGGACTGCCAACATGTGTGCCTTCAGAGTGGGAAAGCACATGGCTACTTGGGGCACATGCAGGTTTTGGTTTTTCAAGACAAAGAGAAATAAATTCAGCCTTAGGAGGAGCACAGGAACACGAGTGTGGCAGCCAGGGGACACGGGAGGAGCACACGTGCCTGGGAGCAGAAAGCCAGCGTGGGGGTATCCAAGTGCAAGGGTCTCCCAGGTGCCTTGCTGACACCAGGCAAAGGTCACAGCACCAGCTCTAACTCTCAGACTCAGACCTTGATTTCCCCTCCCTTCCACTATGCAGCTGACACAAGAAGCTAATAAAGATAAGGAATCACCTCGTCACTTGAACCAAGAGCTGTCTCCAGGGGTTCAGTGCCCTCAGAGGGGGAGCAGCAGAGCTGCAGGTGTGATGTTCATTTCCTCAGAGGGGCTTGTGAGCCACCTGTGAGGAAAGGAGGGAGTGAGCAAAGATTCCACCACACTGTGGGGCTGCAATCACCCCCCAGACCAATGCTCGGATCTAATACTCAGAACTAATCCAAGGCAAAATGTTGTTACAGCACAAGAACTAAAGCTTCCAAGAAGGAGCATCTTCAGCAGGTTCACTCCAATCCCAACACTTCCCAGATCCAGACTGCACCAGACTGAAGTGTCAGGCAGTTCAAATCCTGTGGTGCCACTTCTATGAAGGCAGTTTCTGATCTTACACTTGGTTCTCCCAGCTAACAGATTTCTGAAGGGAGATTTCAGCTAATGGTGACCTGTAACAACTGAATTTCTGAAATATGAACAAAATCCATCGCCCAATCCTTCCTCTGTTGGACACAAGGAACTCCCACTGGCCCCAGGAGGTCCATCCATATGCACCCAGGTACCAGTCCTTGGTAGCTGCAATGAAAGATTCCCCCATTCAAAACCAGCCACAAAAACAAAAGCAGCCAAGAGCAGCGAGGGCAAAGCCATGCAGCGTGCAGCTCTGACACAGGGAAAAGCCTTCACTGGAAAGATCTGGAAGAAGGTAAAGGGAGCTTTGCATATTCCTGTATCTTTGGCAGATGGCTGTTCCAGCCTGGTTCCTTTGGGCAGGACGGTGCTGCAGGGCTCACTCTCCTCTGTTTGTGGGGTCAGCATGTCAGAATAAATTCGCCACAGTGCCTGAGACCAAGCTGCATCCCCTCACACTGCACTTCACAGTCCAGAAGGGAGGAAAACATGCTGGAGGAGCAGCAGAGCAGCCCAAGTCTTTTGCAATCCCTCCCCTAATGTGAGCCCACTCGGAGCCCCAGCGCAGCCCCGAGCCCAGATGACAAAGGCAGAAGAAGAGGAGGTGACAGTGGGAGCCAGCTGGTGGTGTCAACTCCTGGATCAGCCTCTAAGCTACACCTCAGCACAGGAGAAACAAATGCAAACTTATGCTCTGAAAGAGAGAGGGGAGACTCCAAATGAAAAGGACAGGATGTCCGTGAAGCTTTGCAACTACCAGCAGGTGAATTACAGCTACAGAGATTCCTCTTGGCACACAGCTCCAGGCACAGCTACTGCACACGAGAGTGAACAAAAAGGGATTTTTAACTGCTAACCACACAGGACAGCTCAGGAACTTGAAGAAATCAGTTTCTTATCAACATGGGTGTGTATTTGTGTACTTCATGTACAAGAGGGAAGGGAGATGAGCCCTCCATGTTATCCCAGAAGTCCCAGTGTCTCCCTCTCCAACTCTGATACCGAGACCTGTCCATAACGTGGCTCCCAACGACACGCAGGACAACTTAAAAGCAACACCCAAACCAAAAGGAAAAGAGGAAATAAAAGATTAAAAAGTCGGTAACTAAAACCAGCAGATGCTGTTAAAAACACAGTGCTGGGTGCAGACCCAACCTGGCAATAAAAAAGCCTGACAGAAGCAGTCCCTGCACAAACCCCAGCAGGTGCTGAGCCAGTCCTGTTCGGCAGCAAACCAGGACATTCTGGGAAAATGCACGCTGTCCCTTAGGGAAAAAAACCAAAAAAAAAAGAACAAGAAACAAACAGAAATCAAACATTTGCTCAAACTACAACCGCTCTGTAGGCAAAATATTCTTTTTTAAAGATGGCTTTTAAATTTTCATTTTTAAACTTCTTTGTAAGCTACCTAATTACACGTGAAGATGATCTCTAAAAACCCATAGTGTTGGTGTCTCTTCTTCCTCATAGCATTTACACCACTCTGAAATCCAGCAGTCACACATGCATACTCAGGTTTTGGATTTTCCTCTGGAAACAGCTAGTCTTAAATTACTGGGTTTTTGTTATTTCTTCTTTTCCAGAACACGGAGGCAGAGAAGGGGGGTCCACGCTGTGTCTGTCTGCCACATGAATCCCCCTCCCTTCCCCCAAAAGTCAGCTTTTTCTTAAATTCTCCTCTTGTCGATACCCGTTTTGTGTTTTTGTGTTTTAAGACTGTCCGAAGTGATAAGGACCGTGGAAACCCTGAAAGAAAGTTGGAGACATAATCAATTTTCAACAGGCAAGAAACAAAATGCTCAGTGCTCAGCTCCAAAGAGTGCCCAGCCCAGCCCAGGGCTTCCCACCAACCCCACTGTGGCTCCAAGGACACTCTGAAACCACACGTTCCAGGGTTGGCTTCCCCAGAGAGGGCAGATGCCACCACTTACCTCTGTCAGATGTTTTTTAAAGGCCACAAAATAACTTGTGTTTTCTACACCAGAATTCCCTATAGATGCTACAACACCTGCAGGCCCAGCCCCTGCAGCCTCCCCAGTCTGTCCCACAGACGTGGGGCTGTCACTGGGTAAGAGGCCATGCCAGGAAAAAAACCCAAGAAAAAAAATTCCACATTCCCACAAGTGCCATGTGTGCCTTCTCAAGGTGACAATGCACATTTGCCTCAATCAACCAGAGCATTTACCAAAAATCCCCAAAATGCTTCCTAGAGAATCCATTTCCCTCCTTTACATCCTGAAGTGAGTCACCTAAATGTCAGATGTAGTCACAGGTCTCAAATTAACAGGAACTCCTTTTGTAACTTCTATTGTCCAGATCAGTTATCCGGGGTTTCATCAGGAAGCAGAAGAAAGACCAACAGGCAGCAAGGGATGCCCCAGCTCACAGGAGATGAAGTTTGTCAGTGAAGAAGGTACAACCCCCACACAAACCCAGACACACACTGAGGTCAGGAGAGAGATGAGGGAGAAAAACTTGTTGTATCTCACGGCAGAGTTGGAAGATCATTATGCAAATGCTTCTAAACAGAGCCCAGCTCTTCCCAGCACACTCTGGGTAAGGCAGTGAGAGCCCAAACCATTCCTGTTCTGGCTGAATGGGAAGCTCTGACCTCAGTTTTCACCACTCTGCCTTTGACAGGGCAAATTTCCTAGGAAATACCATGTCCTCCGTGTTCTACAACTTCAAAACCCCCTCACTGCAGGAGCCAGGGCTGTGGAGCCACGAGTAGGAACAGACTGTGTAAAGAATCAACGTCACTGGCAAAGCCCAGGCTGGAGAGCTCTGCTGCAGATCTGACTAGGAAGGAAGTGCCATGAACAGTCTGTAATCTTGCTACAGCTGGAGAGAAAAAGTTCATTCTTGGGGATACAATCAGGTGGTAAATACAAGCAAATTGCAAAATGAAGCAGCTCTCAGAATCCAACCAAGAGGAGGATCAGCAGACAATTAACCAGGACATCTCCTGAACTGCGTGGGAAGCATGAAAGACTGGGAACGTGGAAATTGCTGTTTGCAGACAGAAATACACGCAAGTGATGGAAAAACAAACACGCTTCTACCCCAGGAATATGCTGCAGTGCCAGTTTGTAAAGCTTTTCAAAAGAGAACAGCCAGCAGATTCCAGCACGACAGTTCACCTGAGGAAGGAGATGCTCCCATCAAAATCCAGAGACTGAGAAATCCAACATTTCCAAAAATACACTCACTGAAACGGGGAAGGGGAGAAGTAGGACAGAAACATCAAGATGGTGTATAAGAAAAGGACACAGAGGAAAAGCAGTGCATAAACAGGATCCCAAGCAGTCTCACCTCACAGGGATTAAGCTATTGTACTTAGCACTCTGCAGAAGGAAAACAGGATTTGCTGCTGATTACCTGCACAGACACATTTGCCAGAATTTGCTTCATCTTTGAGCTACCTGCACACAAGGCTTTGTTGGAGGCACTGCCTGGCGAGCTCAGGAGGGGTTTAACCATCCCCTGCTCCTCTGCTGGGACCACCCTGGGAGTTCCTTACCCTGTGTCACCCCACAGGGGATGCCAGAGGCAAAACCAACTAGCTTGCTTTGATTTGGGGGTTCCACAAGCATCCCCCTGTGGTGTAAGGAACTGCCAGTCACCCTCAGTCTGACACCAGAGCAGCTCACTTGTGCTCTTGGATGCAGAGACCCTGTGAAATCACTGTGAGCTGGTTTGCAGGGAAACCCTCTGGATCTCCACAGAGGTTTCTGGAGCACTGAATTTAAAGCAAACTGTGTCAGTTAAACCCAGAGTTCAGCTCAGCACAAGAGACTCCTCAGCATGTGCAGCTCTGCAGCACCTGCCACCCTGCAGTGAGCACCTGGCACCCTGGAGTGAGCTCCCCTGGCAATGCCGTGACCATGGTCAGCTCCTCCTGACGCAAGGAATTTCACCATGGAAAAGCCCCAAACCTTTCCTTTTGGAATTGCCACTCTTCACTGCATTTCACCTACCCGAGATTCACTGCTGAGCATGAGAACTTGGCAAAACTGAACCCCACTTGTGTCTTTAAGGCGAGTGAGAGCTGCTTTAGTGCAGACCCGTGCAGGTGACTCCACCTCCTCTGTCCCATGACATTTAGTCACCATGCACAAAGTAAGGGTTTGATACCAGAAAACTTCAATTACAGCTGCAATGCAAATACCAAACCCCTGTATGACATTTTCAAGCCTAATTATCCCCTCTATGCAACATCTTACATCACAAACATGCAAAAATAATTCTGCAGACAATTGCAGTTTTTCCGGGTTGCTTCAATGAAAGGATTTTTCCCAGTATTTTTGGTGCCTTCCCATCTATCCTCCAAGTGGAATCACTGTCTTTATGGAAAGCTCAGCTGCAGCTTTGCAAACTCGCTTTCAGTTCTTCCAGAATGTTCCCCAGAAGTAACTGCTCACTTGCTGGTGGGAGCACTGGCTCTTCACACAGACCAGTGTGTGACAACACAGGACTGTGATTTTCCAAGCAAAGAGTCTGCATGACAACTACTGGTATAAATGATCATTTGACTCGTGCCTCTAGAAGGGAAGTGAGATGTTTTGCAAAGTTGAAACCCTTTGTGAATACTGAGCTCTGTAAACTGAGGTACCTGCGCTGGGAACAAAGCGAGGATTAAGTGAATCTTTCATAAACCATCACACACAGGCTTTCAGACATCTCTTTATTTCACCTCTGTGACTGAGTCACCACCAATGCAGGTACACTTCCAGGGACAGGAGGTGGATGCACAGCAATACAGGAGTCTCCCAGTGGACACTGACAGTGGCCCCAGCCCACGCTGCTGGTCCCATCCCCTCAGGCCGCTCCTACCCCAACCTCGCTTACGTAAACTGAGCACAAACAGAGAACAAAGCATCCAGCACTTGTGTTTTATTCCATGCATGCTGTGCAAACATGGCGTGCCTGGGAGACCACCAGGAAGTTCAGGACCTTCTGGGAGCAGGCACTGGCAGGGCTGGCTCAGGTGCCCGTGGGTGAGGAGGTGGCAGGGCTCAGGTACCTGAGTTCCCATGCACAGCTCCCTGATGTGCTGCTGGGCCAGGATAAACAACAGGCAAATCTGCTGGGCTGCAATGGAGCAAAGTTAGGCTAAAACCAGATTATCTGGCACTTCCCACAGTCTGGAAGGACATGGATTTCATGGATGAGCTGCCATGCAGCACCCAAACCAGCAATCTCTCACTAGACCAGCTCATGGCAGCCCAGCCCAGGCTGCAGTGCTGTGGGAGCTCCAAGTCCAACCTTCTCCCACTGTGTCCAAATGGATGTAACCACACGGTGACCAGCCCAGTGTGAAGCCCAGACACCAGGATGGAAGGAGCTTCTCCTCCTCCATGGATGCAAACATTTTTGGGACATCATCCTCATGCATAAAGACAGTCTGATGCCCAGTTTCCAGTAAAAGTATTTCTGTCTATGGTTTACAGAGGTACTCCAAAATCTGCAAATTGGAGGCCCTGGTTTGGGAGAAGCATGGCTTTAGAAGCAGCAACAACATTTAAGCTCAGAGAGGGGAAGCCAGTTAAAGGCTCCAAGGACACAGGGTTGGTTTCCCCTTATGTACAGAAAGCTGCCAAGTAGCTCAACTCCACACAGAACCAAGGGAGATGGGGAGCACAAACACAACAGGAAAAAAGGAGTTCAGATTTTAAAGCTGTGGACTCCAAATATGTTTCTATTTCACTGGGCATTGAAGAGCAGCACAAGCAATGACCAGGACAGCCAGGCACCATTTGCTTTGGTGGGGATGATGCTCAGTGTCCTGTCTGGGCAAATCTTTGCAGAATCACAACCTCCAGGTGCAGTTTTTTCTGCATGACACAGAGAGAAGTGATTCCTCAATTCACCTGGGCAGCAGGTTAAGATACAGATCTGTGGATTTTATATAGAGATGTTAAGTACAATCTAAGTGTCAGGATATGGCTATTCATTTCTGATCTTCTCAAACATGGAAACGTGTACGTTTCTTTCCTCAGTTAAGCAATTAAACTCTAATTCCCAGGCACTGTAAGACTGGATCTTGGGCTTTTAATGGAAAAGCCAGTCACAAGAGAGCAGCAGTGACCGTGCAGGGTTGCTATGAGACAGGAGTAAATAGGAGAAAGCTGCAATAACCTCAGATCTCCGGAGAATCCAGAGAAAGCGACTGCCAGAGAATAAAGTATCTGTGCATGGGGATTTCTGGGCATCCTATCCTGCACTTAGGCACATCTTTACATCTAAGAACATGCAAAAACTCCACTGGGAACGGATTTAACAACAACATGCTTCAAGCAAAGCCCTGGCAGGCCCTGGCCTGCAGCCTCCCCACGGTGTGTGTGGAAGGTGGGCAGGGGGCCCCAGGGAGGTGGGTGCCATAGCAGGAATAGAGGGCACACAGCTTGTTCCAACCATGCCACAGGTTTCATCTTACCCACTTACAGGGAATTCTGTGCCTGGTTTTGTTTTTTTTTTCCCCTAGGACACCCAAACTACACACTCTGCTGCTGTATAAAAGCATTTTGAACGTTTCCAGGTGTGACACGCTGCTGTACTTATCTAACCCAGCAGCAGATGGCACGTTGGTGTTGCCACAATCCTGACCCCAATGGGGAGCTCTAGAGGACAAGTCACACCTGCTCAGTGCACCAGAGGGAGAACTAATTCCAACAAGGTCTGGCAGCTTTGAGTATGTTTTACACCTGCAGATGCCAGAAACTGCTCGTTTTATCTCAAAGATTTCATGGTCTCATGCACTGCATGACTGGGTGTCCCCAGTGTCTGTCAGCAGAGGAAGCCTCCACAGTCAGCTGAGAAATATTTAAGGGCTTATTTTACTTCTAAATACAGGACACAGGCCCTTCTCAACACTTCAGCTAAACCTGAATCATCTCCTTCGCTCACCAAATGGCCTGTCAAACATGACTGGGGATTCCCTCCCTCTCCCAGGTACATGAAAGAAGACAAAAATATCAGAGATCCTGCCCAAGATAAATAAAATCCAGGAATTCTTGGAGTCTGTGCCACTGCCTAGCCAACCCACAGTGCTCTTCTGTCTGCTCTAGAACCTGAAAAGCCTTTCACATCAATATTCAATCACAGGGCAGCAACTCCCAGTGCAGTAGTTTTCCTTCTCCTGTGCAGCAGCAGAGTACAGGTCAGATCCCCTGGGGATGTGGAGAAGATGGGCCAGGTAGAGCTTTTCCCAACAGGAACTGGAGCTCCATCTGTTCCTCAGGTAATTCAATACTCCTGACATCACCTCTAATAACCCCTTTTCTGTTCCAGCAGCATCTCCAGCTGGGTACACCATGCACACAAAGGGAAAAAAACCAAATAAAACTGCATCTCCTTTTCCCAGAGGCCTGGTCAGGGAATGGAGGGAATGTTCACCTGACCATTTCAAACCAGACCAGGTGTCTGGGATGTCAAACTCCCTCAAACTTGTTTACTACAGAGCCAGTATTGTACCAATACGAATATTGGGTCTGTGGCAGAAAACTTCCTGCCCTGGGCAGGATGGGCAAGGCTGGAACAGGACTCAGACCTACCAGAACAGCCTCCAAAAGATAAAATAATTTGTCTTAGTATGTCACAAACAAAAAGAACTGCAGTAGAGAGAAAAAACACCCAAAAATCAAGTAGCTTTTCCATATCCCCCACCCCCAAAAAGCAAAAAAAGGACTACAAAGTTGTCCCTTCTGAAGCCAGCAAATGTCTGCAAAATGTCTGCTTTAATCTCAGACAATCCACCTCAAATCCACCCAAGAATATTCTGTAAATACATAAAGAAACAAACAACAAACAACCCCAAAACAAAACAACCCAAAATGAGGAAAAAGGGGAGGAAAGGTCACCTGCCCTACGTTTGGGGTTAGATTATAACTGCCCCTGTTTCCTCAGAGCACGGAGCTCTGGGTTAGCAGCTGAACCAGTTTACTTCAACCTTGTGACACCTCTCAGGTGGTGCTTCACTCTCCTGCTGGCTTCTCTGCCACAGCACAGCTGCTCCTTGCCAGGGGCTGTGGTTCCTCACACCCACATTCTCTGAAGGCAGTCCCAGCCTGGCCCCTTGGGGAGCACCACGAGCCCAGCACGCAGCCACTACAGCAGCAACTCTCAGCACTGCCACTTCAGGTGGTGTTTCACTGACAGCTCATCACTTCCCAAGCCATCCACTCCACTGCTATGAGCAGGGCCTGGCAGCAGGGGCCAGCCCAGAGATGGTGTTTGGGATCACTAAGGGGGGGCAGTGAGGCTCACCCCACACATGCCAGCCATAAAAAATGCACAGCCCTGGGGTAAAGGTCACTAAAACAAGATCCACTGGCACAGGACAGGCAGGTCATCCAGGGAGGAACTAAAGTGCTGTAGGTGAACTAACATTAGGGCTTTATTAAGTCATTCAGCAACCAAGTGTTATTGTCCTACACAGCCTGCTCAAAGTACAGTAAAGCATTTTTAAAGGATTTAAAAAATCAAACTAGTTTGACATACGACAGTACACACCTACACATACTGCTGCATTAACAGGTGGATTCTGAATTGTAAATAATCCTGCATTTTTCACACACAAGCAAATAAAAACAGTCAAAATATCACTCAGACTCATATAGCATCCACCAAGCAAGCTTTTGAGAGAGATTTAAAGTAAAGATAATTTAAAAGTCACCTACAATTATGAACAAGACAAGGACACAGACAGGAACGGTCCTTTGATTGACTGTTCCTGCAGGCAGCTTCTGCGATCAAATGGTGTGCTCTGTAGTCTCCCCACACCAGCTAAAAAGAAGTTATCTGGCTAATCTGAAGTTTGAGGGTGTGGTTATTCGTTCTCTGTTCAAAATTATGTCAAACTCAGGACACATCTAGAGAGATATTTTGACTTATTTGCGCACGCAACTGGAGCAGACTCCAGCCACTTGCAGTTACAGCACCCAAACAAGGTTATATAAATTCAAAGAAGGACTTGAAGCAAAAACAAAAAGGTGGATCTGGTAGAGTCTATCAGAGGCAAAAAATATTTTAATATAACATGAGGACTTGGCAGAGTCAGACAGTCAAATTCAGAACCTTCCTTAGCAGGTCTGGCAGAAGCAGAAGGAAAGGGCTTTGCAGTTTGGAAGGAAGAGCAATTACACACCTGCCAGGCTCCCCTACCCGTTCTCCTGCTCGCCCAGGGCACCTACCTTACTGTACGTCACTACCGACAAGTTGTTCGAGTGACTGCTGGGGGAGAGATTTACAGAGTTTTGTGACAGTCCATTCTGATCTTGTTCGATTTGGTCAGGAGCAGGCCCCCATGTGTTTTTGCTGATTGTGCCTAGCTCGGAACCCCCAGGGTCTTTTAGGTTGTTTTCATCTGGTTGCCTGTTCTTCTGTGGAGAGGCGAATGGGTTAAAGTTTCCTTCTACCTTGCGATGCGGCTGCGTGTTGAACTCTGTTTCAAAGGATGACAGCTGCTGTGTGACACCCAGAAGTCCTCCAACTTCCACGCTGAGGATCACCCAGATGACATCTGTGGAAAGATACACATTTGGGCCGTCACTAGATGGGAGTTTATAAAGAAGGGTCAGAAGGAGCAAATGAATTCCATCCTTTACACTAGCAAGAAACAGATTTATTGCTTAAAGCACATTTTTTACAAAGCCTCAGCAGTACTGGTTCCAGTGCCCCCAGTTTAACAGGCAGCTTGAATTTTAGGAGCCAACTGAGGACAGTGCGTTTCTACCTTAGGGGCACACAACCTGCTTAGGCAACTCCACACCCTACTAGGGCCAGGACCCTGAGTACACACCACTAATCCTCCCTGTGCACAACTCCCCTCACTGAAAACTGTACACACAACCACCACTGACCCTCCTGCACACCCCCACCAGTGATCCCCCAGGCCCCATACACGTCCCCCCAGAGGCGGCTCTGGAGCGGCTCCGCAGCGCCCTCTGCCGCTCTCTCACGGCCCTGCGGCCCAGCTGCCGCCCCGGGCTGCCACCACCGAGCCCCACGCAGAGCTTGGTGGCCAAAGGGGTTCAATCTTCAGGTCGTTTTCTGGCAAAAGTGACAACTTCTGGCAATGCAGGGACATCTCCCATTGTCCAGGGCTGGGAACTCTCTGGAAATCCTGGGAAACCCTCGGCTCTGTGAGGATATGGGACCAGCAACACAAATTGGATAGACTGTCCCACCTGCATGGGGATATCCCTGCCCATCCCTCAGGGACACACTGCATCCCTCCAGACAATGAGGAGCTGCGTGGCAGTGCCAGTGCTGCCAGCCCCCTCCTTCTGGGCACTGGTATTTTTGCCTCCATGTGCCAACATCTCTCACTCAAGCCCTGAAACTTGGGATACTCCCAGCTGCCAACAGAGACACAAAGATGTTCTTAGTGTATACTAAAGCTGGCAGAAAAGGGAGGGAAGTCTGCACTGAAGGCAGATGTTTGAAGCCCAGGCTGAAGCACCAGGCAAAATAGCCAAATGTGTTCTTTAAAGAGAGAAATAGCTCAAGGGGATACACTAAATCACTGCATTAAACTCTGGCCATTAACTTCTCACATGAGGTTTTCACCACTATTTTATGCTCATATGAAGTTCACAATGTTAAGCAATGGAAAACTGGGAAAGAATCTTGACAAGGACCAACCAGGAAAGAGTCTCAGTGAGAGCCGTGCACATCCCTTTGTTTTCCAGAGTTTTATGTAATCTGTAATTTGTTCCAGTGCTTAGAAAACACTGACCAAAACAACACAGCAGCTCCCTTGATGTTTTCCTCCACTCTGTTCTGTATTTGAGCCCAGGGCTGGCAGACCTCTGCCCTCTGCTCCATTCTGTGCCTGCAGTGTCCCTGCTGTCCCCAGCGGGGCTGTGGGCTGGGAAGGGGCTGCTCACCTCCGTAGTAGAGCCCCGTGGCAGTGCACATCCGCCACTGTCCCTGATACATTCCGGCCGTGCTGGGGCTGCACATCTGCACGCTGACATCAGCCATCTCCTGCGGCTCCAGGGACCTCACCATCACCATGTTCACGTGGCCAAACTGGTCTCCACCGACATACTTCAGGCAAACCCCTGGGGGCCACGCCTCCGTCCCTGGGATTAGACAGGAGAGGGAATTACTGACAGCGCACCGGGAAAAGCTTTGTCTGTTTGTGTAAGGCTGGTTGAAACACCCTTGTTAAAACAGTTGTGCAATTGTTGGATGGTCAAAGGAAACCAAGATACACAGGACACAGCAGCAGTGGATGCTGAGGAAGCCTGGTTTTCAGAGCAGGCTTAACTGGTGCATTTAGGGACCAGCAGAACAATTCCTATTTGAGTTAATTTCTGTCTTTGTTACACAAAAAAATTCTCAAAGTCACAGTGTAATAGCTTAAAAAAAAACCCCAAAAACTTATCCTGTACACGTCTCCCCTTCCCCAGGGCAAGAGGCAGAGACAAGGGCAGGGCTGTGTTATGTGCTCCTATTTCTGCCTCCCTCCATGAAGCTCCTGAACCATGCCACATCAAATACCTGTTATTTATACAAAGTGTTGGCAACGTGTCATTTCAGGGATTCATTTCTTTCTAAGCCTGTTAGGAGTCTCAAGAGGAACTCATAGTTTGAGCTGTAACTGAAGTGCCAGCACTATTTCCTAAACGGATTTATTTCTCTCCTTGCACCAACCCTTTTCTCAGGCTTGTGCAAAGGTGGCAAGAAGGGTTGTGAACACACAATTTATCTGTGGAGATCCATGTTTAGACTGCAGACACTGGGACTGACAGCGTGACCTGGCAATCAGAGACAGAAAACAGCTCCTGCGTGCAGCCACCGCTGCCAAAGATAACAAGTGCTGGGGCAGACAGAAAGAAAAAGCCTCTCTACTGAGACTCATGAAAAATCAGTTTAGCACAATTTTCTTTTGCATCTTCCCCAGTCACATCACATGACTAAGCCAAGGACTGAGAACACCTCCTGCTCAGCTGAGGCTGACGGAAATGGCTACGGAAAGCCTGAACCACCACGAAGCCTGGAACTGCTCCGTCTGGTCTGAGGCGAGCGCGCTGGAGGCTGCTCTGACCTCACGTTACCTCAAGGAGCATCCTCTGCAACAGCTTGCCTGCTAATTTAATCCCCGTGGATACTCCAGTGAAGACAAGGCAAGGACTGGTTTTCTTGTCAAGTCCTTCTTTTGGAATTCACAACCTTGCAGGGAGAGCAGGATGTGCACGAGTGCAGCGGGATGTTCAGCGTGGGGGATGTACCAGTACAGCTGGAAAGGTGCTGAGAGAGCAGGGCTCTGAAAGAGGAGCTGGGTGTCTGGCTGACCTCAGCCTGGGGCATGGGGCACTTGAGCATGAAGCCTCATCTGCAGAGGTTGGCAGCCCAGCAACATGGTTTAGTTTAAATTATTTATGTGATTTTTATCAGGTTTAATGGCTTTAGGCTTGCAAGGTGCCTAGAACGCTGCAACTGATAAGCTTCATAAAATGAAATTATGATTATGTCATTCTATTTCAGTACACTCAACTCTCAGGAGATGATAAATTGCAGAGAGTGTCCTGCAGAGCCAGCAGCAGCTGGGGGCAGAGTGGGGAGAGGAAGCCAGGCTGTTAAATCCTGCTGCAATGGTTCTACTACATGAACTGCTCCTTTGGCAGGCAAGGCAGCACCGTCCTGCAGGTACCAGAGCAGGGCATTGTTTTTTACTGACACATATGAGAACCTGACTGAACTGAGCTCACAGCTCACGCCTCATACTGACAATCTCTGAGCTCTGCCTGTCACACTCATCAGACCTGCAACGCTCCAGTGACACACGCCTCAGGTATTTTGTGTTCTAGAACTGAAGTCATGTAATCAAGGACTCCTGTAGAGCTGTTAAAAACCTTGGCTCTGCTTCAGTTATCTGCCTAACAGGTAGATATTATGTGGAAACACTACAGCCCTTTGATACTATACCTTTAATTAAACTGAAGAATGGTTTTCAGATGCTGCAGTCCTCCTCACACTGCACAGTCACAACCAGCATGTGAAGCTGCACTTCACTGACCCTCAGCAGCATGGTTGTACCAAGCCCTGGCCTCCAGCACCACCGTTAGGGCACGGATGGATGGTCTGACAAGCCAGATTCAAACCACACAGAGGCCAAAACACGTCATCCTAAATCAAGATGAGCTCCTGTCCCTCAGTTTAGAAGGCCCAGGATTTCAGAAGGTGAAACATTCCAAGAACAATGAAACATCCCCTGAACAAGGATGCTAAATTAAGGCTGAATTTGCATCCAGGAAATGGCGCATCAGAGGAACAAGGAAGGGAGGAGTCAGCCTGAGCTAGAGGTGCAGTCATAACACACAAATTGAGATACTAAGAGTGGAGAAACAAGACCTATCACACTTACTAGATTTGTAAGACCTGTATTTGGGACAGTTATAAAAAAAATTGCCAGTCGACTTTTCACAGTACTGGAGTTCAAGCAAGTTCCCTCTTTCACCCTTCCATTGTACTTTCAAACAGAAGGAGGCAGAAAAAGTACACAGAAATATAAATCCTTCCTCTAGAACACATTCTCTAGAAATCAGTGTTCTTAAACACACTAATGGAATACTCTTAGATCTTTAGTGTGGTTTTAGTGTGGATATCCTGTCCAAGTAGTGCAGCTATTCACAAGCAGAAATACTGAGAGAGCTGAACCTGACTCGTGGTGACTCCCAGCATCACACCTCGGTGTGAGATTGTTCTGCCCCACACAAGTACAAGCAGGTCAATTAAATTCAGACACACAGTTTTAAATGTTCATGCAACATCTCGTCAGTGCAGTGCTTGAGGACATGGGATTCCTTCACATCCATGGATCTCATTTTCCCCTCTGACTGCATCCCACCAGATTAAACACTGGGAATGCACTTTGTCCAGCCTCACTTCCTGGATCCCAAGCACTGCCTTGACTTATTTCAAACTGGAATGTGGTCTCTCCAGCCCTGCATCCTCTCAGAACATGAAAAGGCAATTCTGCCCGAAGTGGACCTGCCACATGACCCTTGTGTCACTGCCTTGTTTGTCTACAGGTTTCCTAGAGTTTGTGTGGTGGCACAAGGAACAAGACTGGTGACCTGACCGAGCTGCACATCCCACCACAAAATGTTTGTGCCAACCCAAGAAGAGGAACTTGGGGCTGGCAGCACCTCAGGGTGGCTCCAGCCCAGGGGAGTGCACAGGAGCTTCCTGCCTCAAGCCAGCATCCCTCCCACTGGATCCCAGCACCTGCTGTGTGGGGTTTGCTGCAGCCCAAAGGCCTCACCTGTGTTCTGTATCCTCCACGTTTTTGTAAACTGGGTGTCAGGAGGGATGGACTCTCCTTCACCTATGGTGACATCTTCCACAAACGACATGGAGGGGACATTGATATTTGGACTCTCAAAATCATAGTAGGCTCCAATGGCAGCTTGTAGATTCCTGAAAAGGAAAAAAGCACATTACAATCTGAAGTACAGGTGGGTCAGGCCCTTTGCACAGGTCATATGTCATCCTAAACAGTTCAGCAAAAATATCCAGACTGTTATAACTTCGCTGCTCAGGTGTTTTTTAAAAGCTTTTAGCTCTATCACAAATTGATTCTCCAAGATAATACAGGAGCTCAAAATGCAGCACTTTTTCTTGCCAGGGACACTAGCTTAGGTCACTTTTCTACTCTGCTTCTATCTTCCCTGGAAACTTTGGAACTTAAAAGTTTTGGAGGTCTCTACTCCAACAGTTCTTTATGAAATTTGCCGAACAGTTCAGGAGACACCAAGAGAAGGGCTAGGTCACAAACACTGGGCAGTTTCTTCACACCAGCCTTGTTACCTCAGCTAATTTCAAAAGGACCAACCAAACCTCTCCATTTCATTTTGGCACACAAGGTTCAAAAGGAGCACAAGAGGAACAAAACATGAAGAACACTCCTCTGATAACTCTCAGGGCCAAAGGGCACCAGTGGCTGCAGATAATAACTCCAGCCTTGCTGGAGTTTTTGAAACATAGCATCAGGTACAAACTGTTTATTCACCTATAAAGTGCCTGTTCAGCTCTGGGTAGTCACAACTTGCAGGAACTTACAAACCACCTGAGTCAAAAGTTCTCACTGAATAAAGATAAATGACAGTGCAAGTCAGTGATATATTAAGGACATTCAGAAAACCACAACACTATTGATTCCTGAGCCACGGTGTAGCTACAACTCATGATAATTAATGTGAGAAGAAGAACAGTCAGGCAGGAAGAGGATTCATGAGCCTCAGCTCAGTTCCACGATATACTATTAAGTCATTATGTAAGTGTTTGGCAAGTCATGTAATTCCTCTGTTTATACATGTCTGAGAGGTTATGGCCTTGATTTACATGTTGTGAGTGGGTGCTGTGAGAATGGGGATGAGTAAAATCTCCCCAAACGCAATGGGCATAACAACTGCTTTTTTTATTCATGACTGCAGAAATCCATGTTGCTTTTTTGAGCAGGATAGAAAAAAAAAAACAAAACCAAGACTTCAGGAACTGGGAACCACCACCTAAAACCAAAGCCCTGCAGAAGCTGCTCTGTGTGGGCACAGTGACATATTGAGGGGCTGGAGAGTGGTGGGGTGTCATGTGTCCGAGTCAGACAGCCAAGGTGAAAGCAAGAGAAACATTTGCAGCGTGACCCTGAGCAAGAGCAAACACAGGGCTTTGTGGGGCTGCTTGCCAGCTGGAAAGAGGCTTGAAACAGTGAGTAAAGAAACTGCCTCCTGTTCAATTCCTACAGTGTTCATGGCAAAAAACATTCAAATCAGACATTCTGGATAAAATCTGAACTGCATGGGAGCAGTGTCACTTTCTCCTCACAGAAAACTCAGGGGACCCAAAGTGCAGCAGCTGACTGGGGGGCAACAGCAAGGGGTAGAGCCGCACTGGGAGAGGACCCAAAGAGCCCCATCGGTTTTGCAATCAATCAATCAATCCATCACGGCGGCAGCAGCCAGCAGATAATCGCTGTGTGAGTCACAGGAGTTCCTGACATTCTGCTAAGGAGGCACTGGAGGAATGTCCTGCACAACATGGCCACAGGGATCGATCAGCAATTCAGCAAGCCCAGTGTCACAGCCAGACCTTTGCCATCCGTGCCGAGCGGACTTTGGTCCAACACAGGAGCCGCCGGGTCCCGTGCCGTGGCCAGAACTCTGAATTCCAGAGCAGAAACCATTATTCAGCCTGAGGGGTTTTCTACTTAGGAGTGTCAGGGCTCTATTTAATCCCGCCAGCTCAGTCAAATGCTGCAGGAAGGGGCCATGTCACATCAGCCAGTAAACAGAGACAAATGCTCAGTTTTACGTCACCAACCGCCTGTTGCTTATACACTGCACAAGATTTACATAACTCACACCGGGGCTGTGCCAAGAGACTCCTGCTCGCTCACCCAGCTAACACCATGAGCTGGAGCTTAGTTTGCACTAGGATCTCTTCCTGTAGTACAGCAATCCAAGGCAAAAGGTATTGTAGGAGATACAAAAGACAGCAATGCAGCTCTTTCTCTTCCTAATCCACTACTACGTAACTACATTTTCAGATGGACCACAACACCTTGTGAGAGATCGTTCTGGAATCAGTGGTATAGACATTTTACTGACACTGAGAGGAAAAAAATAAAAGCTCTGAGGGGCAGATTTCTACTGCAACTCTTAGCAAGGCAGCCTGTCTGTGTTTGTTTGCTGGGCTGCAAACAGGCCTCAGAAGGTAGTGGGCTATTTGTGCACACAGGCCTGGGGCCAGCACTCCCATCCCGGGGTCATATTTCAGTGCACTTCGCCATTGGGAAACAACAACGCTCCTCTGCAGCATCGAGTTAAAAACTAACTAAAGAACAACGCATGCTGGTAACAGATTTGCCCCGTTTGTGACCAAATATTCCCAAACCCACCTCCCCATTCCCACAGTATGATCTGTGTGATGGGGGACGTTTGGAGTGAGCCCTTCTATGTGTTTCAATGCCTCTTGGACTTCCCAGTAGAGAACTAACAAGAAGCTTCCAGAAACTGAAGAGAAATTCACAGTGGCAAAAGCCAAAGTCAGGATGACAAAGCAAATCTGCCTTGAGTTCACGTTCTTTGACACAGACAACCCCAGGAGATAGGGATGGAGCAGCGGTGGCGGCGCTCTGTGCCAGAGGCACCCCCGGCTCACACCTCGCACAACCACTGGCTCTGTGCTACTCCTCCCCTCAAGAGACAGTGCTGCTCCTCCTCCCTGGCCCCAAAACCCCCAAGATCAGTTGCAGAGCAGCACTCCGGGGAAAATGCCACTTGCAGAGGTGAACTCTCTGCAGTCTGGTGATGTGCAGGCAGCTGAACCCAAGCAGCACACCCTGCACTCACCCTTCTGCCACAGGCACAGCATCAGTGCGGCCCACAACCAAATGTGACCCTAATGACAGACATGCCTTAGGGCAAACACACTCAAGGCCTTGAAACTAGTCTATTTAAAAATACATATTTGGGGTTTTTTTAGGTCTTTGCCCAGCTGTAACTGCATAGCCCCAGCTGCAGACAGTGCAGGGACAGACACAGGGTCAGCCCTCAGAGGGTCCAGTTATCATCTAAAGGCTTCTGCTCGCACATCCCTGCCTGCCTGATTTCACTCCTCAGTGTGACTTACACCACACTACTTACTACACTCTGCTCTCTGCCATGAGAGATAAATTACTATTATAAACCAAACAACTCTGCAAATCCAGCCAGTGTAATTGACATGATTGAGCTCTCCTAATTACAGGGGTGGCCATGCAGCTCTTTCTTCACAGGGCCCTCCAGGTCTCAGGCCCTCCTTACCTTCCCAAAATTAAGCAATTTTTCCATTTTTAGAGCAGTCCTGGACCACAGCAGTTTGTAGCCCTGCCACACTCACAGAGCAGGTCTGACAGGATCCAGCTCCCAGGAAAAGCCTGCAGTCACAAGTCACCCCAGTGATGGGGTGAGCCCAGGACTCAGCACCGTGCTCAATTTTAGACCTAAGAGCAAGATTCCAGCAAGAGACAGAGGAGCAGGAAGCACTTACAGGTTGTAGCTCCACATTATCCACCAAATCCATTCTAACTCTGGGTATCCCTCTCCTTCCTCTCCAAGGGCATCCCGTAACTCTTGGGTGTCAAGTGCTTTTCCCACACAACACTGAAGTCTTCCTTTCCAGATCAATCCTTCTCCTCTGCTGCTTCATTTCAAGCCTCAGGAGCTAAATTACAATAGTCAAGTCAAAACTTTCTCTGCTAATAGCTCTGGTGACATCCCTTAACAACTCTTAAGTGATAGCAAAGAGGTGGCTCATCTTGAGCCCCTCTTTCTCTTCCCCGTTTTTTCTAGACAGCCTTTTGTTATGTTAAACCAGTATATTTAGCCATTAATTAATTAAAGTTATTCAGTGTTCAAAATTAAGATAAACTCTTCTAAATCAGTTCACAAACTCAAGGCCTCCCTACACAACCTCCCTGTCCTGCAAACAACCAACAGCATACAGGTAAATGAAAACTGCCTTTTAATTGATCGTGTCAGACTTTCTCAGAAGACTGAAGACACTGAAGCACAGAGGCTGCTGAGGCCTCAAGCAAAGCAGGGCACAGGCCCAAAACCCTCCTGCCCCCAGAATATGGAGAATTCTTACATCATAGAGAAGTTCAGTATCTTGGAAGAAAAGCAGTACAAGCAGGTGCTTCAAACATACAAGACAAGGGATGTTAGAATTTGAACTACGAATGTTACAGGAATCTGCAAGCTTTCATATATTGTCAAATTACTTGATGAGCAAGCCAAAGAAAAACGTAGTTTTTTTAAAGAAAGATCTTTGAGGGGTAAAAATTCAAATCAAAACACAACTTAAGCTCAAAATCCAGCCTGCAAATTTCCCTCTCTCTGGCTCTTGCCCATGCCCACAGCACAGCACCCACCAAGGCCCACTCCTGGGGAACACTACAGAGCTCTGCTCCTCCTGAGCTGCTGGAGAACACAACAGACAGAACGCTCCCTGCAATGGCACCTTCCATTTGGAATTTCAGATGGGAGGCAGCCCTCAGGCCATGCAGTATTTCTTATGTAACAATGGACTTGGTCATTGGAAGGAAGGTGCCAAGGTCTGTCCCCGTGGCGGTGAGAGGAGCCAGGGAGGTGCCCTCAGCACTGACAGGGTGCAGTGTTTTGTCATGAGCCAAGCAACTCAGCTGACATCTCCTGGAAATATGCAATGTAGGTGCTGGGCAGTGCTAAACAGCACAATAAAATCTCCAGCCAGAGAACATGTGATGTAGGACACCTCTGACTCCTTCTGTAACTCAAGTCCTCACCTTCACAGAGCTCCTCTCGCTCTCCAAATGCAGTCTGTAACCAGGCACCACAGCACCCCATAAGGTGTCTATTGTTAAAAAACAAAAATAAACAGTGCAGCAGATGGACAGTTTC